ATATAAAGAAATTTTATTTTAGATATATTGATGATGGCTTTATAATCTGGCCAAAACATCTTGACATCATAAATTTTAAAATTTCTCTTAATGTGTTAAATGAATCAATTAGTTTTAAAATCGATTTTGGCAAAAAGTTTTCTAAAAATGATAACACCTACAGTGTAATTAACTTTTTAGACATCACAATTACTCTTAAAAACTTAAACATATTTATTATGAAGAAACACTCATGACTACTTAAACTATAATAGTCATCATCCATTACACATCAAAAAGAATATTCCTTATAATTTAACTAAAAGAATAATTGTTTTTACATCTAACTACGAAATTGAAAAACTTTGTCTAGCAGAAATAAAGTCATGGTTGAAAGATGGTTAATGTCCTGATTTAATTATAGATAAAGCATTCCATAATGCAAATCTAAAAGGACCAGCACCACAAAAAAAGTCTAAAGAAATATTTCCTTTAGTGGCAACATTCTATAGTCATCTCAATTGTCAATCTTTAATCTCAGAAGCTAATCTTTTACTCCAAGTATCTCATAATGAAAGAGTCAAAAATGTTTTTTCTAATATTTATCTGGTATTAGCTTTTAAACAACCTCCTAAATGACTAAGAAGACTTCTTCAAAAGTTGAAGCAAATAATAAGATTGGCATATTTAAATGCAAAGACATTCGGTGTAAAATATGCAGACTCTACCTTCAAGAAGTAGATGAGTTTGAAACTTATAATGGTACTGGAAAATAAAAAGTCACATCACATGCAACAGCAAAAATGTCATTTATTACCTTAAATGTTTGGCATGCAAAAAGCAAGCCACATATACTGGCAAAACTAAAAGTTTAAGATTACGAATAACTTGACATATTTCTAGTTGCAGAACTGACCTATCAACTAATAGATTTGACAACCATGTTTATACCTGTCAACATTCCCATCAAAATGTAATTGAACCTTTTTTCAACTTATTGTTTTCCTTGAGTTTAACAATGAAAGTTTTTTGTTATCATATGAAAATCATCTGCACAAACAAAAACATGATACTTTTAATTGATTTTCCAGTCTATTATTAGAATTTAACTCATCAAAATAGTTACTCATAGCAACAATATGCAATTAAATTTATTTTGTATACAAAAATCTTGCTACAATACCAAAACAGCACTGATAATTTTTTGAAAGGCCTCTAGTGCTTAAAGTTTATTTAATTATCTAAAAATACTTTGTATTAGTGTATTTTTTGGAAAATTAAATATAATATTTTTAATACTATTATATATATATATATATATATATATATATATATATATATATATATATATATATATATATATATATATATATATATATATATATATATATATATATTAGGTATATGATAAATTTTAAATCAATTAGCCTGGGGTTCTAAATGATGAACTTTTGCCTGTAAATCACAGAAATGACATTGATTTCACCATACCTTAAAAAAACTTCCCGCACCTAAGAAACCTAAGTTTCATATTTAACCATACAACACATAGAAGCCCAAAGATTTGTGTATTCGTATTATTAAATTTACAGTTAAGATATTTATTTGTTCTGTAAGAAGAACGAATGTCCCCCATCAATTTTACAGCTCTCTTGGCTACTATGTTGGTTCGAGGCACATCAAGCACTGATGGTTCTTTCTTCCAGCGGGTAGAGAAGCATTTCACAGCTTTGGAACACTTAAGTTGGGATATTGCTGACAGCAGGTCTTCATAAGCCGCCTCTGCATAGTGCTGGTATTAAAACCAGGCCCACGACCATGTAGTTGCAACGAAATTGCAAGTTATCCTCAGCTGTTCTCGCCAGTTTGGAAGAATGAAAAATGCAATAAACGCAAAAATGCCTCTTGAGTTCTACCTGGCACTGTGCAGTGATGGCAGCTTGTGCCATTTGATACGAGGCCATTTTTCCTCATTTTTGTAAAACTTGTATGCTTCACAAAGCTGAAAAAGAAATTTAAAGTCATCTCTCCAGCCAAGGTTCTCATACTCTGCTACCACTGCTGTGCCCTTGTAGGCATTTTTTAAATCATCGTAATGCTCCATAATCTCATCAATAAATTTGTAGTAAATGTTAGGCGACTGTGACTGTATAGGAAAAAAGAAATCCAACACATGTCGTAGAACAAGATCAAGAGTGTGGTGTTGGCAGCCGATGTATTGAGGTTCATCGAATCCTTTGTCTCAAAATATTTTTTGAAGCTTGGCTACAACTCCATTCTTGCGACCAGTATTTACAGCTGGTCAATTTGTACTTTGTACAGTTATTTGTCTTCACTACAAAGCCAATATCCATCTGGTTTTGTTATATCGAACAGATGAGCAAGATTTTCTTCAAATACTGCATTTGGTCGCTTTCTGTGTTTCTCAAATGATGTGATAAGTTTGTAAACATTAGCAGACACTTGTAGTTTGGAAAGAACAGGAAAATTAAACTTCTGCCAAAGATTCATCAATTCCTTGGATATTTTTGTTAGTTGATCATGTTGTCCTTTCAATTCATTAAAGAGTCCCAAGAATCTTCCAATGATATCTCTGTTGGAAGGCATTTTACACAATTTGTCGCTCATATCCTGTTTTACCTGTGGTATATTAGAATGGTGCTTCATGCTTGATTTCAAATTTTGTGTCCATATTTCACCAGCTGATTCCACTGCTGATTTTGACTTTTTACTTTTAAAGGACATATTTTCAAAAAGAAACACTAAACAGCAGATCTTGCAAATTAATACTGCAAATAATGAAAAAACTTTTTAAATACTTCTACTCAATACAAACAAACAACAAACAACAACAAACGTGCATTAATTTGAAAAACAGTTGTTAAAATTTGTTATTCAAAATTGAGTTACATAACATAAAAACAATTTAAAACTATCGAACTTTTTCATTCTATGTTAATTAACTTTTTAAACTGTTTGATGCTCTCCAACTTGTAGTTAAATTCAAGCATAGTCAATCATAGTCAGGCATAAGGAAGTAAGAACTGGAAACAAGTGAAATATCGAAAAAGTTAGTGAGGTGCTAGGTGCGGGAGGTTTTTTTGTGATCCAATGAAATAAACCTCAAAACAGTGATCTATTGGTAAAAGTTCATCAAATGCAACATCAGGAAAATTAAAATTTTGAAAAAAGTTTTTTTGTCATATACCTAATATATATATATATATATATATATAAATATATATATATATATATATATATATATATATATATATATATATATATATATATATATATATATATATATTATATATATATATTATATATATATATATATATATATATATATATATATATATATATATATATATATATATATATATATATATATATATATATATATATATATATATATATATATATATATATATATATATATATATATATATATATATATATATATATATATATATATATATATATATATATATATATATATATATATATACACACATTTGCAATGGATTTTATATATGGTTTCCAAGAAAGATTGAAGTAAGAGTTAATCCTAGAAGATGAAGGGTAGATGACTCATTGAGTATATTACTGTTCTTAAAGATTATTGCGATAACGATTAGCTGAAAAAAAATTGAGTTTTCTCTTAGTTAAAGTTTAGCAGCCACTGTGATCCCCATACTGCAGTAGAAGTAAGATCCTTTTCAAGCTCAAATGCCTTTTCAAGCTCAAAATCCTCACAAACAATTCAGCTTTGCTTTAGGTGAGGTGAAGAAATCTGAACCATACAAGAGAGGTGAAACAGCAGATTTGCCCTTATTATAGATTCTGTCAAAATTTCTACATAAGTAACAAAAGCCTAATTTTTGAGATGAAACAGATTTCCTGACCTGAGAATAGCAAGCTTTGGCGTTAGACAAAACTTTTTTACAATGGTTTCTATCAATAGTAAGCAGATGTCTATTTTCTGGAGAATAGTTTTGCTGATAGATATGAAAGTAATGGTTAAAATTGGAAATTGCAGCAACACAATGCAGGGAAAATTGAGAAGAGTGAGGCTTGAGGTGGAATTGTCTAGAGGGAATAAAGGATTCCATGCCAGCCTAAATCCAAGAAGTTTTGTAAGAAGCGCATTTTTCAGCTGGAAGACGAAAAATTTCTACCCAAGCGCCATCACAAAGAAAATCATGGAAAGAGTCCCAATCAGCTTTATAGTAGTTGTAGGAGGTTTATAGCTTTATAGTAGTTGTATAAGGGGATTCTGATGACGAAGAATTATAAGATAATAGTTTTAGAGGGATCAAACTTTTGCAAGGAGAAACACGTTAAGCACAGTTCTACCAGGGATGTGGTGGGCATTGAATTGTTGTGATGTGGTCTTTTTATTTCAGATTAGTATACTATGTTGATACCTATGTCCTGCTCCTGTATTGTTTTGTGTAACATGATAAATGCTTTATTGTGAGTAGTTATATGCTGTAGCTTGATCACTTTATCACAACTTTTACTTGATCGCTTTATCACAACTTTTATAACTTTGTATTTTTTCGTAACTTTATTATATGTTCCAATTTTTTGTCCATTTAACTAGTTTATTGAGATCATCTTGTAATATTTGTCAATCTTTTTGGTTACAGCAATTAACTTACTATCATCTGCAAATAGCTTGCAGGTACTGTGAACTATGTCATTAATAAATAGATTGAATATAAATGATGATAAAATTTTGTCTTGTGGTACACTAATTAACACTGGAAGCCATTCAGATATTATAATTTCCAACTCTTGTTGCCTGTTTATGAGTAAGTTGTGTAGCCAATTTGTAAATATTTTGTTGAAACCATAAGTTTTTACTTTAGCAATCAGCCTACAATATCGAATATATATATAAATATATATATATATATATATATATATATATATATATATATATATATATATATATATATATATATATATATATATATATATATATATAGCTCTACAAATTTATTTTGTTATTGTAGTAAAGCTGATAGTTCAAGTCGACCACAAACACCTATTCAACAGTTGAGTATTATAAAAAAAAATTATATGATTGAAAACCAAAGATACACTGAACCTAACAGCGAAGATATTCAGGTTTGTTTTATAAAAAGTTTATGAATTTTGTAATCACGTGTGCAACCCTCGGAATTAGGAAAAATGAGGTCAGCAATAGTTTGTTGACCTCAATCTTTTAGAGGTCAGCATCATGTTGGTAAAAAAAATTTGATACAAAGGTCTTACCATAAAACATAAAAATGAGGTTGGTAATTATTCCTCAACCTAAAACACTTTATGGTAGGCAGTCAGGCCAGTATTGCCGATTGCCGACCCTAATTCCGAGGGTTGCTTGTATCTTTCTGGTTTTACATAAAAATAGCAAAGTATCAAATATTTTTTATTCTTTTTAATTTTGAACCTAAAACCTTTGAAAACCAAGTTGAGACTAAAACAGTTTGCTCTATCATGTTAGAATAGTTATATGATATCTTATTATAAATAAAGATTTCTTTTCCTTCAATTTCATTTTTTTAAAGTTATTTATTAGTGAAGAAAAGTATTTCATATAAAAGAAAATATCTTATTTTATCATTTTATATTTTGTCATTTATATATAATTCTGATCTCATTACCTTTTCCATAGATTAGGCAGAATTATTTGCAAGAACTTTTCTTTTAAATCAAGGGATTAAACGGACTTGCTCTTGATACATCAAAGGGTTTTGATATTCTTTACTTTTCCTTTTTTTCTCTAAGCTTACTTTATATGATGTAATTGGTGAAGTTTTCAAAAGTGTAAAAACCTTTTTCTAATTGCACCATTCAAGTGATGAACACTCTTTTTAATTTCCGATAAAACCTGGTGTACCCAGTGGTCCCATGTTATTTTATCAATATTAATGATCTTGTTAATCTAATCTCTAACAACTCTTACTGAATCTTTTTATTTGTATTTTCTTTGATTATCTTCCACTTCTAACCTCTCAGTAAACCAATCAAATTTATTGCCAAACCACCACATATTTGTCTCTAACCATCACATATTTGTCGCTAACCACCACATATTTGTCTCTATTTATTGTGCTTTTCATTTTCTCACTTTCTACTTTAAATTTCTATAAATCTCTTATTCTACTTTGTATGTAATATTGTCATGTTTAGATTAGGTCCTCAAATAATATTCTTTCTCTAAAATAAAATTTAAAAAAATGTATTTTTAAACAGTTAGATCTGCTCAAGCATCTAAGCTTGAGCCTCTAGAAAATTTTTTTTTTTGCAATTACTACTATAGTTGCTTCTCCAACTAGCATCATCTTTACCAAAGTTCTTGTGTGATTTGTCATTAAACAAAAATTATAAATAGTTAAAAAGTTACAAGCAGGATAAAGAGAGAAAAGTTTATTAGATTCTAATTTTGAAATAGAATTGATATATAGTTTATAAGAGAGATAATATTTTCATCTTCATCATTGATGTAATGTTCATCTTCATCATTGATGTGATGTTTATCTTCATCAGTGATCTTAAATAGTTTAAAAAAGTTATACTACATAATACTGCCACATTTGATAAAAATGTTAAAGATGCATCTCAGTGTGATATGAAAATAAATAGTTTTTATAATTTTGTTTAATTACTTAAATAAAATTGTTTAATTTATTATATTAATGTAAAACAACTTTATGACACTGTTTTGTGCAGTTTTATACAGATTATAACCTTAATAACATAAAACGAGTTTAAAATATAAAAAGGAAGCAAATAAATAAAATTGTTCTAATTTATAAATTAGAAGATTATTGTCATAAAAGTTCACATTTGTGCAAAAACATGTCTATAGACCATACCAGTCTATAATCTATAGACCAAAAGTGTAAGATCAACAATAAATACCACTTTTTTAATATTTATTGTTTTTTGATCTAGCGTACTATTAAAAATTTGAGTATAATTAAATTTTTCATTTAAATGGTTTTTAAATTGATGTTTTCATTCATTTTTTTAATTCAAATTGTTTTCCAATAAAAAGTGAAACAAAAATTTGTTTAATAAATGGAATTATATTTCTTCAAGCTTGTTAAAGCAAAAAACATTAAAGCAAAAAAGTTGCTCGTTTCTATTAGCATTGCTTTACTAAAAAAATTTTAATAAAAAAGAATTAATATACATTTTAATATACTTAAAGTAAAATTAATTATAAAAAATTGTTATTAAAATAATAATTTAAAATATTAATAATAAGTTAAATTTGTGCAACTTTTATTTAACAAAGATAAAAACTAGGCTATTTTGTTAAAAAAAAAAAAAGAACAAAGAAAAAATTCTCTTAAATGTCTTTTCCTTTTTCGACTTCTTTTTTTTTTTTTTTTTTTATTTGCATTCACTCCCAACAAGGCTGCAAGCAACCACTATTAAGTTGGGAGTTACTAGGAAAAAAAAAAGAACAGAGTTATAGAGCAAGGAAACGGTTGGCAGAAGACTTAAAAAATTGAAGGTTGTATCAGTCAGGAAAACATGAAGATGGGAGAGAGTTCCAAAGGATTGAAGTGCGGTGAAAAAAACTAGATGAATAAAAGGTTTTAGAGCATGCAGGGACAGATACAGAAAACGAATGAGACTTAGCTGTATGACGAGTAAAACGAGAATGAATTTTAGTTGATGGAACTAGAGATGATAACTCCTTTGAGCAGTGACCATGATAGTATCTGTAGAAAAGAGAAAGAGATGCAACTTTACGACGATGGGAAAGAGGTTCAAGCTTAGCAGATAGTCCAGGTCCAACAACATTTACAATGCGTTTTTGGACCTTGTCAAGAAGAGAGAGTGAATCGTTAGAAGAACCAGCCCAAATATGACAACAGTATTCCATACAGGGACGAATAAGAGATTTGTAGAGGTAGAGAATGGAATCAGAAGTAAGGAAATGGCGAGCACGATAAAGAGAAGCAACCTTAGCAGAAGCTAATTTAGCAATCGATTGTATATATGGTTTCCATGAAAGGTCAGTAGTAAGCGATAATCCAAGAAGACGTAAAGAGGACGACTCAGTAAGAGGATTGCCATTCATTAATATAGGAATGTTGACCATATTACGGTAGTTGTTTGCAGTAAGCAATTGGGTTTTTTTAGAGTTGAAATTCACAAGCCACTGTGAACCCCAATCTATTACTGAAGTGAGATCAGATTCAAGATCAGCTGCTTGTTCTAGGCGATCGAAAAGAGAAGACTTTTTGTCAAGACAGGAGTATAAAGTTGAGTCATCAGCAAAAAGAGCTACTTTAGATGAAAGGTTGTCAGGAAGATCGTTTATGTAGATAAGAAACAAAACAGGGCCCAGGATGGAACCTTGGGGAACCCCAGAAGTTACTGGAAATAAAGAAGAGTGTTGGCCTTCAAGGATGACTTTAATAAACCGGTCAGAAAGAAATGATTTGATTATCTCAAAAACTTTCCCAGAAACACCATATGAAGCAAGCTTATGGAGAAGACCAGCATGCCAAACTTTGTCGAAAGTTTTAGATATGTCGAGAGCAATAGCCCTAGCCTCACCGCCTCCATCTAATGCACGATAAAATCTTTCAGTTACAGCAGTTAGCAAGTCGGCCGTAGAGCGAGAGGATCGAAAACCGTATTGATTGTCTGACAGCAGTTTATTTGACTCAAGATGAGATGTGAGGAATTTGTTGATTAAAGACTCAAAGACCTTGCTAATAACAGAAAGAAGACTGATCGGACGATAATTGGAGGGGTCAAAATTTTCTCCAGAGTTTTTGAATATTGGAACCACAGATGCCATTTTCCAACAAGCAGGAAAACAAGACTCAGTCAAACACTTGTTAAATAGTTTAGAAAGAATTGAAGAAAGTTCTGGAGAACAATTCTGCAAGACTGTGACAGGAATGTTGTCTGGACCACAAGCTGTAGACGAGTTTAATTGAGATATGACTTTAGTAACAGAAGCCGGAGTGATTTGAATGTCTAACAATGGGTCAACCTGTTTGACTGGAATGGAAGGAAGAGAATGTCCATAAGATTCAAGAGTGGAGTTAGAAGAAAAGTTCTTTGCAAACAGTTCTGCCTTATCCCTGGGAGAGGTAACAAGATCAGTCCCATGAATGAGAGATGGAATGTTAGATCTACCCTTGTTAACAATGCTGTTGAAGATTTTCCAAAAGTCTTTAGAGCCTAACTTCTGCGATAAGATGCGAGATTTAGTGAACTGAGAATAATGGAGTTTAGCATCAGAAAGCACCTTTTTACATCGATTTCTTGCAATAATAAATAGCCGTTTGTTCTCAAGAGAGTTATTCTTTTGAAAAAGATGAAAAAAATGGTTACGATTGGATATAGCAGCCGCACAAGAAGGAGAAAACCATGGAGTAGAGTGAGGCTTGACTTGAAACCTACGAGAAGGAATAAAAGCTTCCATTCCAGCCTGAATCCAGGAGGTTACGTAGGAGGCGCATTTGTCAGCTGAGAGAGAAAAAACATCAGCCCAAGGACCATCACGAAGAAAATCACGAAAGGAATCCCAATCAGCTTTAGGGTAGTAGTAGGTGGTGCGATGATAAGGTGAGCCCAAAAAAGAAGTACGAGAAGAAAGATTTATAGAGATCATTGCATGGTCAGAACCACCTAAGGGAGAAAAGGGAGAAACTGAACATAAGCTAGGGTCAGAGACAAGACATAAGTCAAGGAGTGAAGGTAAATGATTAGGGCTGTCAGGAAAACGAGTCACAAAGTTAACTATCTGAGTAAGAGATTGAGAAACGCAGAAGTTAAAGGCTTTAGTGCCAGCAGGATCAGTGGTGTTAGAGCCAAGCCATTCAGTGTGATGGGCATTAAAATCACCAACAACAACAATATTGGCAGAGGGGTAAAGAGAGAGGGCATGGTCAATTTGATCAGAGATAACATCTCTGATCAAATTGAAAAAAAAAAAGAGTGCAATCATGGGAAGAAGGAGAACGATAAAGAACAAAGAGAAAGGTGATAGAGTGAAGAGGTGCTAGGCGAAAGCACATAAAAGAATGGTCAAAGGATTCGAACCTGATTTCATGACAAATAGGGGAATTAATGCGTATGTATACCCCTAAACCTAGCATGTGACTATTGGAGTCTTTACGAATCAAAGGATAGTACCCATCAACACTGACATCTGAAGAAAGAATTGCAGAATTTAAATTTGTTTCACTGAGTGCAGACAAGTCTGGTGAATTTTGCAGGAGGTAAGACTCAACTGATGGAAAGTTGCTTCGTAGACCGCGAATATTTGTAAAAGATATATTAAAATATTTAGGTGGTGGGGATGGTTTTTTAGGTTTTAAATTTTTTGTTACTTTGGTCATGATTTGGGTTTAATGAGAACTTGACTCATTCATAGATAGAGCACAGCCTCCTAATCAATGAGCTATGCAGTTGTCTCAGTCCTGTTAATTAACCCTAAGCCGTGACATAGGGCTCCTTATGTGGCCTTGACAATGCACACCAAAAGCATTAACAGGGACACCATCTATGCGCAACATGGCACTGTTAATACTCTGATATTTTGCAGCTGTTGATGGAATCAGCCTCTCTGAGAGCTACCACAGAGTTCGGGAAACCTTACTAACAGCCGGCCTCAGAACCATTAAACTGAGTTTTAGAGCTGTACCCTCATATGGAGATAACAGGAAGAGTTGCATAGCCATTATCATAGAGGCATAAGCAAAATTCGATGAGTAGAGTCAAGGAGAGGTAAATTTTAGCTCTAATGACCTTTTAAAATACATTCCACTCATTGGATTTAAAGTAATTTAAATTCAAAAGTGCTTTATTTTGAATGAAAATCTCTGCGCGAAAGAGAAAAAGATCATTCTATTCAAAAGATAAATTTAGCGTGACATACTTTATAGCAAAAACATTACTTTTAAGAATTGCTAAAAAAAGTAAATAAACAACCAAAAAAAAAATAAATCACAAAAATATTTTTCTTAAAAAAAAACTAATCATGAAGAATTAAAAAGCAATTGCAATTCTCGATTGTAATAGGCTTAATTCGAGCCCTGGGGTACATAAACTAGTCTTGTTCATAAGCTTGCTTCATATGATGTATCTAGAAAGTTTTTGAGACTTGTTTCTTTTTAATCACTTTATTCATCCTTGAAGGACTATTCTTCATATCCAGTAACTACTGGGGTACTTCAATGTTCTATCCTTGGTCCTATTTTGTTTCCTATCTACATTAATGATCTTATCAACAACCTCATATCTAAAATAGCTCTTTTGCTGATGACTTAACTTTATACTCCTGTCTTGACATAAAGTCTTTTTTTTTTGATTACATAGAACAGGCAGCTGATTAGGGCTTGCAGTGGCTTGTACTTACTTGTACTTATCTTCTTCTTTTTGACTTCATGGATTATCATTTACTACAACCTTTCATGGAAACCATATATACAAACAATTTTTAAATTAGCATCCACTAAAGTTGCTTCTTTTTGTTGTGCTTACTATTTTCTTGCTCCTGATTCCATTCTCTATCTCTACAAATTTTTTATTCGTTCCTGTATGAAATACTGTCGTCATATTTGGGCTGGATCTTATAATAACGCTCTTTCTCTTCTAGACAAGGTCCAAAATTGCATTGTTAACATAGTTGGACCCGCTCTATTTGTTAAGCTTGAGCCTTATTCCTATTGTCATAAAGTTGCATCTCTTTCTCTTATCTACAAATACTATCTCTAGTTCCATGAAGTAAAACTCATGTTATTACTTGACTTGTCATTCAGCAAAATCTCATTCATTTACTGTATCTGTACCTGCATGCTCTAAAAAATTTTATTTGTCTAGTTTTTTCCCTGCACTTCAACTTTTGAAACTCGCTCCTATCTTCATGTTTTCCTGACTCATACAACCTACAACTTTTTAAGTATTTTGAGTCTTCTGTCTAGCATTTCTTTGACCTTTATTTACTATATTTTTTTAAATAACTCTTAACTTAATAGTGGTAGCTTGCTGCCTTGTTGGCAACAAATCAGAATTAAAAAAAATAATAAAATAAAATAAAAGTATTAAATCTATTTATAAAAGTAAAGTTTGAATTAAACTTAAATAAAATAACAATAGAATTAAATTTGAGGCGTCTTAATAAATAAATAAAAAACTATTAACAAAAATAAAAGTTACTAATCTTTGATTTTATTATGAAAATATGGAAATCTGATAGAAAATGTTATAAATGATATAACAATGATAAAGTATTTTTTTTTAGCGATATCACTACTACATATTACACGGTGTTTCAACACAAGATATATGCCCCCTCGATACTGTTATGGTTGATAGAGTTATTTCAGAATGTTTATCAACTCATTACGATTTGCAGAAGTATAGTGTACTAATTAGTAATTTAAAGGAAGAAGTACATTATGATTATGAAATAAGTTGCAAGAAATCTATAGGTTTGTTAAAATTTTTTTCAAGTTTAGTATATTATACAAGGCTTTTTTAGACAATTTTAAATATTTTATGTATTGAGACCATTAATAATAGTTAATTAAATTCTAAAAAAACTCTTGGAAAGTTTTGTGAGATCTTTTTTTTTGGTGAATAACATTAAAAAAGTAATAAAAATTATTTTATACTGTGATTTTTTTATTCTTATATGTTTATGCGTGTTGTTTTTTGAATTAAAATGTTTTTTAATATGCAGGGCTTGGAATTAGGGTCAGCATTTAGTAATGCTGACTTAACGTTGACCTTGTAATATCTAAGGTCTGAAAAAATTGCCAACCTCAGAAATTGTTTTATTTAAATTCCAAATAAAATAGTTAAAATACAAACAGAAATAATTACGTTTTATTTAATTTCTAAATAAACTCATTAAAATAAAAACAGTAAAACAAACATTTTATTTAATTCTTTTAAAACATTTTGTTTAGTTATTCTTAGCAAAATATTTAAAAATTTAAATAGCAAACAAAGCAATTAAAGTAAAAACGAAAAACAAATGTTTTAATAATTTTAAATAAAATAACACTTTGTTTTTCTGCAAATTTTTTGGTAAATGTTTTCATGTTTGTTTGTCTGCTACTCCAAAATATGCTGCTGTAGAGCCAAAAAAAAAAAGTTCCCAGTAGCTACCAAAAACTTTAAAATTTTATTATAACAATCTTTTGGTGGTTATTAACATATATATGCCACATTAAAAAGTTGAAAATTTATTGTGTTAAGAGGCAGATTTGAACACTGTCAAAATTTTTCCTTATTGAAAGTCACAGGCCAATTTTAGCACATTCCCATATTTTATTAAGAACATTTTGTAAATTTAAATGTTTCATTAGAAATAGCAGCTAATATCTTTGTGTCATCTGCAAACAGTTTGCAGTTACATGTAATAATGTCCAAATTATCATTAATCTATAAAACAAATAGTATGGGTCCCAGTACTACGTTTTGTGGTACTCTGCTAGTTACCTGGATCAAATTTGATGTAGATTTTCCTAATGTGACTTTTTGTTTTCTATTGGTCAGAAAAGCACAAATCCATTTTATTAATTAATTATCTATCCCATATTTGTGTAGTTTATAAATAATCTTTTTATGGAAAACATTATCAAATGCTTCAGCAAAATCAAAGTTAATAATATCTACCGGTATTCTTAGATTTAGATAGTTAAGAAAATTTCCAACAAGTTAGGTTTTTTTTTTTTTTAAATTTAATTCACCTCCTGAAGGCCGAGAAGGCCACTACAGACGAGGAGGCTACTTATTTGTGGTTACAACTCTCTCTTGACTCTATAACTCCAAAACACGAACCTTGATGAACAAGGCCGCTGCGCTGAGAAATGAGTTGAGCGCAGTACTACCAGGGACATGGTGGGGATTGAACTCAGAACCACTCGTTTATGAAGCAAGCGCTCTACCACTACACCACTACCACATACAAGTTGTATAACTTGGAAGGAATAAATCCATCCTGGTTTGAATTAATTAGTTTGTTGATATTAAAGTTTAAAATGTTAGTAAAATACTAAATCTTAAAATATTAACTACTTTCATTAATTATTATTTAAAGGTAAAGAGAAACCTATTAGAATTATATCAGTAACTTTATTTTTAGTTGATTATATATTAAAAGACAAAAATGAGTGCCAGCGTTTAAATATTGGATCTGTTCCTCTAGTACATCTTTCAAAGTATATTGTGTTAATTTTTATTATTACTTTTATATATATATATATATATATATATATTTTTTTTTTTGATATTTATATATTTCTTATGAAATGAAATCTTTATTTGTGTGTTTTTAAATTTAATTTACAAAAAAATATCCACAGATGTCTTCGTGCACCTGTTCCTTGGAGAACTGTGTTTCAATCTTCAAAGGAATTCATTCAAAAGCATCTAATGAAGATTAATCCTGTAATGGGTTCATTGCAAAATCTTTGGGATCAAAAGTAAAGTATTTATTGCAATTTCATAAACGTTTTTTTAAGTATTTTTTAAAATTAAGTTTATTTTTTCATGAATATGGCACTTATAGCTTGCAGATCTTCAATGGCTGCTGTTTATTATTATTACTAATTTAGGAAAAAGATTTTGTCAAAATAACTGATTCGTTTATTAAAATTTAGTTTTGAATTTAGTTTTGTAAATAAAAACCAAAATTGCAGGACATGACTGGAAATTTTTATGAATATAGATCTTGAAGTGTGTTACATATTTTTTTAAGAGTAAAAACTCTTGTCAAAATAACTAAAATTTGACTTTGTGCATAACCTAATGTTGTTATGCAAGAATATACCCAATAATTAATTAAACTTTGTTACAATTCTCTTTAAATCTTAATAATGTTTTTTAATTATTTTAAACCTTTATCAACTTATTAAACTTCTATATTTTAACAGTTGTACCTAACTGCAAAATCAAAAATACTATAAAAATTTGATAATATATTAATAAACTTTTATATTTTTAGATAACCTTACAATTTCACCATACAACATTACAATTTCAATCTCTATCTATATAGCAACATTTATTTGTAATATGGACAGAAATTGAAATTGTAATGTTGTTATTTACTTAAAAGTAAAACTTACAGACGATACTTCAAGAACTTTCATAAAAGTATATTTATTGATTAAACATATAATATATGTAGGGCCAGTGAAAATTCATGAAGTCACAGATGCAGTGAATTCTGAGATTTTTAGCAAAAGTTGTTTCCCGCTATTTTCGCCAAATGCCATGAATTTACCATGAATTCTGTGATATTTCTTCAATAATTCATCATGTTGCACTGATTTTTCCGGTATTAAGTGCATCAATTTGGTAATTAAAAATCAACAGCATAATTTCTAATTTAAATTTATTAACAAATCAATCATGCATTTACTCTATGCTTATATCATATGATATCTATGCCACAAATTGCGTGACATCGTAACTTGATAATCATAAATTATGATTATATAAATTTGTTATGACATCACTCAATTTGTGACATATTATCATAATCAATGATTATGATTACATTTGTGGCATGATTATGATTCATTATAAATGTGAAATTAATTTAAATTTGAAGATTAAGTTGGCAGTCAAGTACCTATCAGTGCCTACCAACTCAGTTGATGTAGAGAGAAGTGTTAGTACCTTTTAAAGGCATTTGTTTTGACAAAATAAATATTAAAGTGTACTGTATGTTTGCTGTGAGTTTACCATGAAATTGCCACAATTTTTCTAAACATGCTGTGATTTTTGCAATTTTTACCCTGAATTTATCTTATAAGTAAATGGTAATGAAAGTATCTGCAAATATAACTTATATAAACTTATATAAAAATTATAACTTATAACTTATATAAAAGTTGTATCAAGTTTTACTTTTTTTTTTACTTAAAAATTGCATTGCAGCAACATCTCCTTAATTTTGATTATAAAATTTTCTTTGCCGTTTTATAAAATCTTTTGTTTATCAAAGTTTTAAAACATTTGTAGAATAACACGCTTTAGTAGCCAAAGTGGTTAGCTCGCAGCATTTCTGCACTGAATCTCTGTGGTTCAAATCCTCCTTACGGTTGCACATTACTTTCAAAATACTTTTTTAAAGTTGTATAAATATTATATACATAACATAAATAAAGATATCATATACTATGTTAATCAAAAATTTTTTTTTTAAAAAAGCTAAAAATTTATAAAAGCACAAATCACAAAAGTTGTTGCACATGTTTCATGATAAGGATACTTATGTTATTAATGTGTTGAAGTAATTAGTCCTTATAAACTGCAGTTGATCTGAAAAAAATTGTGGTCTGAAACTTACTTAAGATTGAATTTATAAGTCTATCCTGCTACTCCAAAATGTGCTGCTGTGGAGCCAAAAAAAAAGGTTCCCTGTAGCTAGCAAAAACTTATTATAACAAACTTATTATAAAATTTTATTATAACAATATTTTGGTGGCCACAACAATATATATACGCCACATAAAAAAATTAAAAATTTATTGTGTTAAGAAGCAGATTTAAACACTGGCAAAATGACACTGATGACAGTGCATTAAACCACTGAGCTATCAAAGTTTTGCTTGTAATTGAAAAACAAATTATTTTATAATTTCTTATATTGATTGTAATTAATCAACACTTTTCAAGGCTAATCTCTAAATAAGAGCAGCTTTATTGCATAGAATCTCACATAACATAATATAGCAACAAACAAGTATGTTATATAGTAACATAAAAAACCCACTGAAATTGATAATTTTTATTTGATAAAGTTATGTCATCTGTTTGCTAAAAGACATCATCAGCATTACACACAAATGTCTGTAAGTCTTCAGCATAAGTTGAGTTTTCTAAGCATGTTATTTAGCAATTGTGTTTAATATATGTATTTTATAAGAAAATTTAAAAATTTTTATTTTAACAGTCGAAAGTTTTTTTTTGCTATATATATATTTTTTGTTATAAATAAATAAGGTAAGATTAAAAAAATTTCAAAATTTATTTTGCTTAGGGGAAGACTTAAACTCCCTGAAATGATACTGATGACAAGGATCTAAACCACACAGGCATTAAATATAAGCATTTAGAAACGAAACAAACCATTTTATAAATCTCTTATAAGGTCTATGTATACGGAAAAGGTGCATAAGTTAATTTTTTTTTGCTATTAAAGCATTTTTTTAGCATATTATTTTTACTAAAAAATGTTGAAATAAATAAGGAATAAGTATTAGTAGGAATAAGACTTGTAATTTACAGGTCCAAACATTGATTTAACTTTTGTGCATAGATGTATATGTATCCTAGTACATGTACATCTATGCACAAAAGTTAAATCAAGATGGTAATTTCAATCAAACATTTTAGGTTTTTTTTTTAACTAAAAACAATCAATTAACTATACAATTAATATAAATAAAGTAAGAAAGTGTACAAAAATAATACAAAAAAATTAAAAAGTTAATTGTGTAATCATTTATATAATAGTTTAACTGAGTTAAGGTTTAGAAACTAAAAAATAAAAAAAACTACAAATTTACTATTTAAAGTGTCCTCTTTTGGCTCATTAGCAAAGAAGAACTTGTCTCTTTATTGATTCCACCAATTTCATGTACATCTCAGGTTGCACTTTTGTTTAAAACTTGTTCAGAAGTTGCTTTAAATGCTCATATGATTGAATTTGATGGTTTACCAATTAAGTGTCAATCCATGACCAAATATTTTCTATTGGATTGATATATGGTGATCTAGAGCACCAAGGCAACAAATCGATCTTTTTCGTGTTAAATCAGTGTGTAATACTATTTCTAGTATTACAATAGTACTCTATTAATACTATTTAAAAAAAAAAATTTATGCATTTTTTTATGCATTTTTTTATGTTACCTTGCATATCTGTAAGGTATTTGGTATAAAAAAAACAACATAACATATATCATAAACATAAAAAAAAAAAAACTTTGACGAGCAAGGTTGCTGTGTGAAGAAACAAGTTGAAAGTTGCGGTGAGAAACATATATAAACTGAAGAAAGTTGCAGCGAGAAACATATATAAACGGAAGAAAAATACATAATCATAAACATAAAAAACAAAACAAAAACATAACATATATCATGAACATAAAAAAACATTTAAGATTTGAGGGGTTCAAAGTTAAAATCTGTAATGGCGTCTGATTACTGTGATTATTTTTGTAGCTGGCACCAAATGTGTTAAGATTTTTAATCAGAAACAAGCTTTTACTTATAAGATGAATTCATGAAAAACATTATTAAAAGTTATTTTCATAATTGTTTTTTACATTTTTCTCTATAAGTAAAGAACTTCATTTTAAACAGTGAAAAAACATGTATTATTGATGTTGTCAATGTTTGTTTTAGAATATAAAAAAAAACTAAAGTAACTCTATTTCAAAATGAGAACTTGCATGCTTGTCAACTTTTGACCGCAAAAATTTCAACTTTGACCTCAAAAGTGTCAATTTTTGACCTCTAACATGTCAACTTTTGTAATATTTTAATATTTATTTTATTTATTTATATATTTTTAGGGTTTTGTTTATTTCATTAGTAAAAGCTTATCATTTTTTGTTGTTTAGGTTTTCTTCTTGTAGGTTTATTGATATTTTCAAAATAAAGAATGCAGGTTTACCTCTCAGTTTACAGGCTTTTGAAGATCTTATAGATTGTTGCTGTTTGGAGGGAAAGCAGATCTTAAAAACTGTGTAATGTTTATATTTATTATTTAAATTATTAAATGATCTTAAATTAAAAGTATGAAACATATTTACATGTTACATTCTATTTATTTTAGATATATATAAATTTTATTGATGTCAATTTTGCAAAAGAACAATTTTTAGCATCCTTTATAGAGATTTCCTTGTGTTCAAAATTTAAAAAATTTACCAGATATAGATTACATACAAGATTACAAACATACAAGATATAGATAAAAATATCTAAATTTAAACAAACAAACAAAAAAACTGTTAGAGTAGCATTGTTCTGAAATGCACCACATCTATTTTTTTAATAGTTTATGACTCAATAATTTTTATTGTTCAACTATCTCTTTAAAGCAATTTTTTTTTTTAGAATGCGATGTTGTGAACTTGTAAGATTATGATGTTGTGAATTTGTAAGACTGATGTTGTGAACTTGTAAGAATGTGATGTTATGAACTTGTAAGAATGTGATATTGTGAATTTGTAAGACTGTTATTTTGTGAATTTGTAAGACTGTGATGTTTTGAACTTGTAAGACTGTGATCTTGTAAACTTGTAAGAATGTGATATTGTGAATTTGTAAGACCTTGTAAACTTGTAAGAATGTATAGATTTTTATTTTAAATGTTAGAAGTTATGTTGCTATAAATTTAAGCATAAACAAAACATAGAAATTATGCATGCTACTAAATTAGTATGTGTTTTATATGAAGAGCTAGGGGTAATTGAGATTTTAATATAAAGACTTTAAAAATGTTTTACAGTGTATATTAAAGTATTGAAAAAATATTACAAATATTATTATAAAATTGTGTTTTACTATAATGACAACATTGCAATTTTTTTGCAGTTAAAACTCTGTATGCCACATAAATCTAGCTAATGCAATCATATTTTAGAGTTACTTCAACGAACAACAGACTCCAATTACAGTGATATCAGTGAATCGCCATAACAGCAAAAAGAATCCAGGAATGGTATATCTAAACAGCAGTACTAGCATTGCAAATCTGTACTCGGATTATTGTGTATCTTGGTGAGCTGAAAGGGCTTTAACATCTGCATTGCAAGATAAATATCATTTAATGTTTTGCAGTAAATACAATATTGGTTTTAAATTACTAAAAAGTGACACATGTAAAACATGTGATAGGCAAAATATTCAAATAAAGGCCGCATAAGGAATTAAAGATAATGCTCATTTACAGAATGACCTCAATCTTCATCAAAGAAAGGCTGAATGCATTCAAGAAATATTAAAGAAGGATGTGAATGATGTTCTAATGGAAAATGGAAACAAAAGTTAATTATTAATTAACATTAATTAATGAACATTTAACCTTCAGCATGCTCTTCAAACTCCTTTATTGACAGTTGGTTTGGCTTTTTACTTGAAAAAAATAATGACCTATAACTTTGGAGTACATTACTATACATCCACATCTGATTATCGATGTTTGTTTATGTGGACTGAAGATGTTGCCAAATGCGGGAGTAAAGGAATTGCAAGTTGCCTTTTAAAGTTTTTAATATTCATTTGGGAAGTCATACTGATCAGCTAATAGCATACAGTGATAATTGCTAAATAAAAATTAGATTGTCATAAGCCTATGGTTACTGCTGATTAGTGAAAAACGAATTAAATGCATAGAACATAGATTTATAATAAGTGGGTACACGCATTTACCCTCAGATTTGACTTTGTTTTTATTGAAAAATAATAAGCAAGTATACTGTCCTGAGCAATTTTAAACTCAAATAAGAAAAATATATTCAAGGTAGAGTTTCTGGCACAAAATGACTTTTAAACTTTTTCAATGGTGCATTCTACAATTAATATAAAAAAATAGCATGTTGAAAAAAAAAATAAAAAGAATTCACTACCATAAAATTTTTCTAAAGTAAGAGTTTTTAGATTGGAAGCAGAACATCCAAAATCTGTATTTGTAAAACATGTTTTTAATGAAGACTTCAAAATGTTCAAAGTAATTTAACAGGGTCACACAGAACACTTTATTAATCTAATAATCTACTGAGTCTTTTAGCTAATAAATAAAATAATAAACTTGCTCTTTCCACTAAAAAGATAAATGATATAAAACAGGTTTTGCCATTCATCCCTCCACACTTTACTCTCCACAATCCACTCTCCATTCTTCACATTCCACTCTCCACACTCCACTCTCTACACTCCACTCTCCACTCTCCACACTCCACTCTCCACACTCCACTCTCCACACTCCACTCTCTACACTCCACTCTCCACTCTCCACACTCCACTCTCTACACTCCACTCTCCACACTCCACTCTCCACACTCCACTCTCCACACTCCACACTCCACTCTCCACACTCCACTCTCCACACTCCACTCTCCACACTCCACTCTCCACACTCCACTCTCTACACTCCACTCTCCACACTCCACTCTCCACACTCCACTCTCTACACTCCACTCTCCACACTCCACTCTCCACACTCCACTCTCCACACTTCACTCTCCACACTCCACTCTCCACACTCCACTCTCCACACTCCACTCTCCGCACTCCAAACACCACTCTGCACCATTCATCCCTCCATATTATAGCTTATAATTAATAGAACTTCAAGTGGGTCAGAAGAACAACGAACTTGAAATGATTGAACATAATTATGAAATCCTCAAATTTTTCATTCTAGATGTTTTTAAATATCTTTATTAAAAGATATTTAAAAACAATTTTTTTTCATAACACACCTACAATAAATTTTAATTTTAATGATTTGGCATACAGTATTTTTTCCTTAAAAATTTTAATGCACTTTTTTTTTTCAAATATATTTGACCAATAAACACTGCAAACCACCTTTTCCCAAAAAATAACCTGACATTTTTTAAATAAATGAGATAAGTTAGATTCTGTAACCATAATTACTAATTGCACATAAAAGCATTAAAAAATATTTTTTTGTATAATTAGAAGATTTTTTTAGATTAACTAGAAACCTCAAAGTATATTATTTTAGATGGCATACCATCTTAATACCCCAAGCCCTTCATATGATCTTGCCAATTTTTACATTTTGGGAATTAAGTAAGTATGTTCAAGTATTGCATAATAGTTTTTGTTTTTTAAATACTTTTTAATTATTTATAAATTTTTTTTTAAATATTATTATTTTCTGATTTATTTGCATTTTTTTTTTTTCTTTTTTTTAATTATTCACCTCCCCAAGGCCCAAGGATGCCACTACAGTCAGGAGGCTACTCATTTTTTTTTTTTTTTTGTGTTGTTAATCGTGGTACAACCCTCTCTCAACTCTTTAACTCCGAAACACGAACCTTGACAAGCAAGACCGCTGAGCTGAGAAATTAAGTTGAGCGCGGTACTCAAGGGACGTGGTGGGAGTGGAACTCCGAACCGCTCGCTTACAATTTAAAGAAAAAAAAATATTAAGGGTGATAAAGATAATCAAAATTACTCTATCGTAACACAGAGTAAAACAAGTTAATGTATTTTGCAGTGGTGATGAATATTGTACTTTTTTAAGTTTGATTTGATCCAAGACAAGGTGGATGAGTAAGCAATATAATCAGGAAGAGAATTCCATATTTTAATTTTTTTAAAGAATCTCAGTGTGTCTGTTTTACATTTGTTATGTAGAATAAGATTTTGTAAATTGGTCAAATGCAAATTTTTATAAAATATCAATTTTCTGTTGATTTAATTTGGAAAAAAAGATTACTTGATTTTACTTAGGTAAAAAAAATTTTAGTACTTGATTTGTTTAAACAATTACTCAAGTACTTGAGTACTTGAAACCTATTAGTTAGTAGTAAATAATTATATGAGATGACATTCAGAAGAGTATTCTTATTTATCAATATAGTGGAGGACACAGTTAGAGTGTTCATTTTATTGATATAGTAAAAGACTTAGTAAGAGTGTTCATGTTTATCGATATAGTAGAGGACTCAGTAAGAATGTTCATTTTATTGATATAGTAGAGGACTCAGTAAGAGTGTTTATATTTATCGATATAGTAGACGACTCAGTAAAGGTGTTCATATTTATCAATATAGGAGTATTTTTAATAAATGATAAAGTTAGGCAATATAAGAATATCAACAGTATTGCAATAATTATTGGCAGTAAATAGCTTTTATTTGGAGTTCAAATTCACTGACCACAACATACTCCATCCTTTCAAAAAAGAGATATCAAAAGTAATATTCAAAATAAGCAACCTATTCTAAGCAATTAAAAAGTGGTACTTTTTTGTTAAGTCTGTAGTATATAGTTTCATTATCAGCAAATAGAGCTGCTTATAAGGTAAGATGATCAGGAAGAACATTAGTATATAGACAAGGAATAAAAAAAGAACCAGAAGAAAATCTAGTTGTATTCCAGAAGTTACTTAAAATAAAGGAGAGTGATGTTTCTCAATGACAAATTTAGTGCTGTGATTAGAGAGAAATGATTTAATGACAGATTTTATCAAAAGCCCTTGCCTCACTCCTTTCATTTAATGCATATAAAAACCTTTTGGTTAAATAATAAAAATAAAATAAATAATAAATAATAATAAATAGAGTTCTACAATTAGTGATGTGATGTGATGTGATGTCATCTATACCACAAGCTTTAAAAGAGTTTCAATGTGAAATAACTTATGCAACAGAAGCAAGAGTAATTTAGGTAACTAGGTTAGGTTTAGGGTTTGTTTAATTGAGTTGCATAGAAGAATGTTGCTGTTAAATTCAATTTATGAGTTAAAAGAAAATAGTTTTTCACATAATTTTACTTTTTTTAGGGTGGAAGGGGTGGTATAGAGAAGAGGTAATAAGATCAGACCCATGTCTAAAAGGTGTAGTGTTAGGCCTGTCTTTATTAATGATTTATTTTGTGCCTAATTTCTGAGATAAAATACCAGATTTAGTAAACTGAGATAAAATACCAGATGTAGTAAACATATCTGCTATTTTATTTTTATGTATTTTATTAGATTTTTGTT